CAATATGTTAACTTGTAAAACATAATGGCTCGTTGTTCGTTTTATTCTTATATATATTATTAGTTTTGTTATTGTTTTTTTTTGTATACGAATTAGACTTTTCACGTTCATTCGTTCTTTGTTTCTATGATTATTGTTTAATTATTCAATGAGTGGAATGAATTAGAATATCTGTAATCTTATTTACATTTTGTTTGTTTCTTTATTGAAGGGATGCCTTGATCATCAGCTTGGCGGACACACTGACCAGTGTCCTGGCAGGGTCAGTAGTGTTTGCCGTGTTAGGGACTTTGGCTTATGACTTGAAGAGAGATATCAGTACAGTCGTTAGTCATTCAGGTACGTGAGGGATAATTCGGCCATCAACTGACCAGTGGTATAAGACTTGCTATTCATATAATTATAATGAAAACAGCCTTTTAAATGCACGTAGAGCGAACGGGTCTCAAACCCCTAAAAGTTTGCTACTGGTTACACATGCTTTCTCAAAGATTGGCATTTCAAAGGTACGGACAAAACCTCTGAACTTCTGTATAAAAATATTTGGAAAAACGATATATGTCATAATTAATTAAGTTGTATAATATGTAGGATTACGTGTCAATAGTTGAGATCATTATGTGGATATTCCATGTATGTGATAACGTGTCAATAGTTGAGATCATTATGTGGATATTTCATGTATGTGATAACGTGTCAATAGTTGAGATCGCTATAACGTGGTTTGATGTAGGATTACGTGTCAATAGTTGAGATCATTATGTGGATATTCCATGTATGTGATAACGTGTCAATAGTTGAGATCGCTATAACGTGGTTTGATGTAGGATTACGTGTCAATAGTTGAGATCATTATGTGGATATTCCATGTATGTGATAACGTGTCAATAGTTGAGATCATTATGTGGATATTCCATGTATGTGATAACGTGTCAATAGTTGAGATCATTATGTGGATATTCCATGTATGTGATAACGTGTCAATAGTTGAGATCGCTATAACGTGGTTTGATGTAGGGATTACGTGTCAATAATTGAGATCGCTATAACGTGGTTTGATGTAGGGATTACGTGTCAATAGTGAAGATTGTTATCTTGTGGTTTGATGTAGGGATTACGTGTCAATAGTGAAGATTGTTATCCTGTGGTTTGATGTGGGGATTACGTGTCAATAGTTGAGATTGTTATCTTATGGTTTGATGTGGGGATTACGTGTCAATAGTGAAGATTGTTATATTGTGGTTTGATGTAAGGATTGCGTGTCAATAATTGAGATTGTTATCTTATGGTTTGATGTGGGGATTACGTGTCAATAGTTCAGATTGTTATATTGTGGTTTGGTGTAGGGATTGCTTGTCAATAGTTCAGACTGTTATCTTGTGGTTTGATGTAGGGATTACGTGTCAATAGTGAAGATTGTTATCCTGTGGTTTGATGTGGGGATTACGTGTCAGTAATTGAGATTGTTATCTTGTGGTTTGATGTAGGGATTACGTGTCAATAACTGAGATTGTTATCTTGTGGTTTGATGTGGGGATTACGTGTCAATAGTTCAGACTGTTATCTTGTGGTTTGATGTGGGGATTACGTGTCAATAATTGAGATTGTTATCTTGTGGTTTGATGTAGGGATTACGTGTCAATAGTTCAGACTGTTATCTTGTGGTTTGATGTAAGGATTACGTGTCAATAATTGAGATTGTTATCTTGTGGTTTGATGTAGGGATTACGTGTCAATAGTGAAGATTGTTATCTTGTGGTTTGATGTCGGGATTACGTGTCAATAGTTCAGATTGTTATATTTTTACCATTCATAATTATAGAAGACCTTACTCAGTGTTCCGTTTATAAATAATCTAAATAATTAGTCTGTCGTATTTTAAATACACCAAGATCACATTCGATAACCTGTATTGTAGTCAGCTTTCAAAACATTAAACTAAACAGTGTTCAGTGGCTCTACTAATGTGTTTTCAGATAATATTAAACGGTTTTAACCACGAAGGCAAAGATTAACGTGATTTTACTACGAGTACTGTTTTGTCGTAAATTCTAACAGTGGTTTCCATTCAGGAAGTGATTATTGAGAACTTGGATATAATATCCAACTCCATATTATTATCATAATTATAATAGTCAAATTAACAGTATAGTAATAAGTAATACTACAATCTTCCTAATTATAGGCCTCGGTCTAGCATTCGTGGCCTATCCAGAAGCCTTAGGGAGAATCCCGGTCGTACCGCAACTGTGGTCGGTTTTGTTTTTTGTGATGCTGTTTCTTCTGGGATTAGGCACAGTGGTAAGATTTTTGTTTGTTTGTTTGTAGTTAAGCACAAAGCTACATAACGGGCTTATCCTTACATCGAGAGTTGTGGTAACAGAGCCGTTTTGATCATACGCTGAGATATAAAATATTTATCAAAGCAGTCAGGGTAAATATGCTACCTGCTACGGTTGACGATGGACACTCTAAGGTTTCTTTGTTGTTTGGTTGCATTTCGTACAAAGCTACACAAGGTGTATCAACACTAGCTGTCCCTAATTTTGAAGAGATAGATTAGACAGCTAATCTATCCGACCAACCACCAACTTTTTACCAACGAAAAATGAGATTGATCGTACATTATAACACCCTCACAGCTGAAAGGGCGAGCATATTCGGTGACGGGATTTAAACTCTCGACTGCAATCTGCACCCTAACCACCAGGCCTGGAAAAACTCTAAGGTTTGTTTGTTTGGAATTAAGCACAAAGCTACACAATGGGCTATCTGTGCTCTGCCCACCACGGGTATCGAAACCCGGTTTCTAGCATTGTAAGTCCCCAGACATGCCGCTGTGCCCCTGGGGGCAGAACTCTAAGGAAAAACGAGCAAAACATTGGAACAATATTTGTAATGTTACAACAACCCTGAATTCAAACCAGCACGTGAATTTTAAGGACTATTGTTCGTTTAATTATGTAAAAGTTATATTTTTCCTTTAAGGTTAATTTACATAAAAAATTACAATGTTTTGTAAATTAGCCATGTTTTATAATCACCAGAATCATAGGTGGCCATTAATTACACAGGCCTGCGAATTTCAACTTCCATAATTCAGCTACGCAGACTTCGAAAATAATATTTTTTTTCTATCACGTAAGGATTTTTTACAAATCGGGAAGAAAAAAACTCTTTCTTAGATCAAAGTA